GAAATTTTCGTAATTTAACACTCCAACAACTACTAAACTTTTTGTTGTTCGTTTTGCAAGTATGGGTCTTGACAAAGGGTTTACCACCGGCACCCGACAGCCACGAGCCAAGGTCGCCCTGGGGGCAAGACGAAAAACTCCTTAGAGGACTTCATGTCCAAAATAGCTTTGAATTTAGCTGGATTTTGCTTGATTCCTCTCTTCGTCATCATGAAATCGATGAACCTGCCGGTCTGCACTGCAAAAGTGCACTTACTCATATTTAGTCGCATCCGATAGTGTCGCATAATTTCAAAACAAGCTCGGAGATCCATAATTTGGTTATTCTGGTCCGAGCTTTTGACCAGCATGTCATCGATGTAAGCCTCCATCGTCTTTCCGAGCAATCCTTCGAACAACATATTAATCATTCGCTAGTAGGTTGCTCCAGGGTTTCGATGACCAAATGGCATCACCCTGTAGCACTATAATCCATTAGGGGTAATGGATGAGGCTTTACTCTCATCTAACTAAGCCATCATGATCTTATGATAACCCTTAAATGCATCCATGAAGCTCATTAGGTCGGCTCCTGCCGTCTCGTTAACCATCTGGTGGATTCTCGGGAGTGGATATGCATCCAAAGGGCAAGCCTTTATCAAGTTGGTGTAATAAACTCACATCCTCCAGTACGAGCACCACGTTGGCTACCCAATCGGGGTAGATCACTTCCCGGACATAACCTATCGCGGCTAACGTCTTGACTTCTTTTTGGACGAACTCACGCCAATAAGAAGATATGTGCCTTTGTTTTTGCTTAACGGGTTTTACAGTCGGGTTCATGGCCAACCGATGAATCACGGGCATATCCTTCGGCCCCCAAGAAAAATATCTGCATACTCCTGCAAAACCGATAGGACCGAGCTTCTCAGCTAGGGGCTGAGTGACTTCCCGATCTTAATCTTTCTCTCTGGGCGGCCATCATCCAACGAAACTTCGTCCACTTCCTTAGAGGGCTCGTGCTGTTCTTTCTTCTCTTTGTCCCTCCTTTTGGAGATTGTATTGATCCAGAAACTCTCGGCTTCTTGTTTCTGCACGGCTCTAACATAGCATCGCTGCGCGGAACAGACATCGCCTCTCAAGACCCCAAATGCCTCCGGGGTCTGGAATTTCATACAAAGATGGGGCATTGAAATGACCGTGCCGATTTGTGCAATTCCCGGTCAGCCGAGGAGTACGTTGTGGACGCAATCCATGTTGATAACAACGAACTCCATATCTAACTTCAACACTCGGTGGTGTGTGCCGACCTCCACAGGTAGCCGGATCATCCCCCCCCCCCCCCCCCCCCCCCCCCCCCCCCCCCCCCCCGGGTTGAATCATGTCCCCTGTGAACCTTGACAGCGGGGTTCGAATACGGTCACTTCGCCTAGTCTGCTTGTTGGCTTAAATTAAGTAGCTCGGAATGCTTGACAGTGGATCAGAGGTTCCCGAACTAATAGCTAGTGTGTAAAAATAGCCAAAAGTCTCCCTCACCGTAATTAATGCAGTATTTATAGGGAGGACGAGGGAGCAGTATCCAGCCTCGCGGCATGCACAGCACGTGGAGCCCATGCACAAGCTCAGGCCAGGGCCCATGGTAACTGAACTACGTGTCCTAATATTTCAGGGTTTATTGAGTGAGTAGCCACCATGCTTAGCCTAGAGGACCAGGTCTGTAAATCGGTCCCGACCTGAATAGGTTAGGGTAGGACGATCATTGCAGCTCTTACGTCTGGCCGCCTAATCGTGGAGTTCGGTACGCATTTAGGTCGGGAGAGTAAGCCTCTTAGGTTTATGACAGTCGGACCGAGCTCTACTCAAGTAGTTGGTCCGATACCGACTTAAATACACGTACGGTCGGTAGGGAATAATCTCCATCAATGCACATGCATACACAATATCTCTTCTTATATTGTTTAATGGTAATAGGGAAAATGACACCCCCCCCCCCCCCTCTCCCCGAGTTATTCATGTATCCACATTTGCCCCTCAGTTATGTTAAAAGTGGCGGTTTTCTCCCTTTTATGTTAGATGAACATTTTTACCTTTAAAATAAGTATTTCATTTATTTTTCTTCTCCAAAAAATTATTGCTTATATGTATGGATGTCCACGGTTCGGCTCGAACCTAACCAGACACTGTAACAACCGAATCGAAACAGTATGGATGGTTCTGGTTACGGTTCATAACTGAAAAGAAAAATTGTTGAATTTAGACTATTTTAAAATTAAGAAATAGAATTTGCAAAAATAAATAAATAAATTTTGAACTAGCGGTTCAAACTCAAACTGGAACCTTCCTAAAAGGTTCATGTTCCAATTTATCATTTCCAAGAACCGTGAACCAGAATCGAATTGTTAGTTCAAACCAAAACTGAAACCTTCCTAAAAGGTTCTAGTTCCGATTTATCATTTCCCAGAACCGTGAACCATAACCAGAACCGAATCACAGTCATATCTACTTATATGTGGAATTAGAATAAATGTGAAAATGATCAAACACTATTGGTAAATGATAAATTGGTTCGGTTCAGTTCCAGTTTTGGTTTTGAACCGCAGATTAAAATTTTATTTTTTTTTAAAAAAAAAATCTATTTCTTATTTTTAAAATAGTCTAAATTCAACAATTGTTTTATTTTATTTTATTTCAGTTCTGAATCGTAACCAAAACCGTCCCTACTATTTCGGTTCGATTGTTACAATGTCCGGTTAGGTTCAAATCGAATCGTACTCATCACTACATATAAGCAATAATTTGTTGGAGAAGAAAAATAAACGAATTACTTATTTTTAAGGGTAAAAATGTGCATTTAACAATAAAAGGGGAAAACCCGCTACTTTTAACATAACTGAGAGGGAAAATGTGAATACATGAATAACTCAGGTGGAAAAAGTGCTATAAGCATATAACTCAGGGGAAAAAAATATAATTTTCCCATGGTAATAATGTAGGTAGGCATTATATATTGGAGTATTATAAGAAATAAGTTTGATTCATTTTGATTTTAATTAAATGTTACCATAATTATATTTAGTAATGTATTATATCTAAAATTTTTATTTTAATACTATTAATTATACCATAATTATTACTCAAATTTTATCAAATATACTTTTAATATGATATGAATTCTACAACTATGAATTTTTAAAAAATTATATATTAATATTTAAAAAAATTAACATTAAATATTAATATTTAACATATATTTTTACACATCGCACATATAAAATACTAATAAAATCATAATATCAAATGTTATCTGCATTAAATGTCACGCATGCCAACAAACTTGAGTGGCCAAATATAGGCTGCTATAATAGGTTAAATTTACTAATATTGTAGAATTGGACCAATTAAATTAGCTAAATATATATATTTCATCATCACCTATGTTTCAAACTCTCAAAAAACCATCCTGTAATTTGTATGATTGAGTAGGTAGGAAGAACAATGTGGATGGACATATATAACAATGTAAGATTGGACACGACACGGCTTTTGGCATGTGGTGTCAATTCGATCTGTATCAGTATCACCAACCATTTTGTGTGCAATCCTTTATAGCTTGGCAGAGTGTTAATTAGTCAGGACGACAATCATACATGGCCATGTCCGTCCGGATTTAGGAACAACTCCCATGTGTTGTGCGTGCATGCTACACTCCTCCATCAACTCAATATCCATTTGAATCAAACACTTACCATTACGTTAAAAATTATATATAGCTAGTAGCTGCCAAGCACCTTTTGCTCAAATGGCATGTAGTGACTGACCTCTTCCATGTGGGAGGTCATAAGATCAAGCCTCAGTGAAAGCGTTGTGCGTTGTTTACTTTTTGTGCTTCATTCCGTAGCATTCAAAAAAATATATAGCTAATAGCTATTTTATACCGTCATATTTTTGAAAGAGGTAGGGTGGGTGCTGGACTTGGTCCTTTAAACTTCCGTCCAAGAATCCTCTAGTCACTTGCTGCTGGTCATATTTTTGAAAGAGGTAGGGTGCTGGACTTGGTCCTTTAAACTTCCGTCCAAGAATCCTCTAGTCACTTGCTGCTGGACTTGACCTTTCACCAATCTTTGCCAAACAATATCCAGTACATGGTCCACACAGCTGTGTGGACCACGGTCCACAAACGATGTCGTTTTGCTTAATTTTATTTTTTTGCGCGCTCATCTGCAACATACATTTTTATAACTCATAATGTACATTATTCTAAAGCATAATGTACATTATTTAAAAACATTATGTACATTATATTATCTCATATATTTCATTATTCTAACACATAATGTACATTATTCTAACACATAATGTACATTATTCTAACATATAATGTACATTAATTTTACTCATAATATTCACGACGATGTTTTGGACCGTGGTCCTACGGTCAACACAGCTAATTTGTCCTGTTTCACTCGCTCACTTCCAACAAAATTCCGGCTAAGCTTCTGGTTGGTTCTGTAATGAGATGAGTGTTTGTTTCTGCAGCCTCGTTTGACTAATTCTAAAACAAACTCTTTTGGTATATATATGCAATTATAAGTATCTCAATCACACCTGTTAATCATTGGACAGACTGATCATCAATGCATTTTATCCATCTCCAACAACATTATATTAATGATGAGTAGGTTGTTTCTTAAAGTTTAACACTGCTGCCACACAATTGGATAACCAGATAAAAGATATCATTCTTAGCTTGGGTTACTACACTTGGCAAAATTATTAGATCAAATTTTGAAGGAAACAGCAATGAAAAATATGATTTCCACAGAACATTTAATTTGATCACAAACATATCAAGCAACCATTCTAAAAGCTAGCTAGCTAGCAATGCCCTGGGGAGAGATGTCCCGAATGTTCATTCGGCTGGATTAGTCTCATCCCACAAGATGCGATCGAATACCGGTACAGTATCCAAAAAAAGCTAGCTAGCTAGCTACAAACCATATATAAAACATATGGATTGATTATTAACAAGCTGAAATGGAATTTGATCTAGACAAGGACAAGGAAGAGTTGATGAACTGGATGCAATCATCTATGGCTTCAGCTCTGTGATCAGAACCAATTATTCCATGCTGCCCTATATATATAGCTGCTGCTGCTGTACAGCTTCCCTTTAATCCACTTTCCGATGAAGAAGAAGAAGATGACGCAACTTTCCGGCATCTCCCCGGAGTGATGGTTCGCAAAGCCTCCATCATACTTCCACTGAAACGTTTGAGATATCTGATTGGATGCAACAATTCGGATCTCTTGGGAATCTTTAAACTGCAACTTCTAGTGTACTTGATTTGTTTCTGATGATGAAACGCATCTATTGTCTCTTCTCCGGCCAACATGTTCGATCGAATCTTGTTTTTCTCAAAGATTGAGGTGGGAAATTAAAGACAGTAGTGTATGTATATGTAGTAGTAGATCGAATGAAGGTTAGTTGTGTGGAGCTGCGAAATATAATGGTGTGTAGTGCTTAATATATATACAAGTACCTAGTGCATAATCCCCAACCTAGGGTGCAATATAATTGAGTGGAATAGATTCATTTATGAGTTCCAACCACCTTTTATATTGAAAAATTAATCTGACTAGCAATTTGTTCCTTAATTGGATCGATTTGCTGCAAACAGTGATCAGTTTGAATATATATGGTACCGACTTAAAAGGTACTTCTTACAGTTAGGATCTGCTCAGGACACCTTGTAGTCTAATAAAAAAAAGCTCATTTATCTTTAAACGTCAAAGGATTGATACTTGATTTTGGATTTGGTCGAGTGTCACACTTAGAAGTATCTACGATACAGTTAAATTCTAGGTTATACTAAAAAAAAAAAACCTTAGAGGTGGTACAATTCAGCAAGGAGAAGAATGTATGACGTGTAATTCAAAAAAAAAAAAAAAGTGTTTACAATTTAATCGCGAGAGAATTAGTTAGTGTGTTAGATACTCGAAATTGAAGATTGAAGTAGAATAAAGGAGATGGGAATAATGATGAAAAGTGAGGGACAAAAAGGGTACATAACTCTCAGACTTCTCTGATGCAACATCAAGACCAAACATAGTGTCCACACACCATATATGTTTCTGCTTACAACTGTATAACCTAGTAGCTATAAAATAATGTTAACAATTTTAGATCCTAAAAAATCTTATTTTTCCTCTTTTTTTTTTTAATTAATAATATTTTGATTTTTTCTTCACTCATCATATCTCCTTGACCTTGTCTGATCTCATGCATACAGACTGCTCCTCTTAATCGGGTCTAACCCCAAATCAACTTGGTGCACGACGTAATTATCATATGGTATTAACATTTTGTAATATATTGGATGTTGTTCTTTTGCTTGATACTATATCGAGAGATAATTAATTACCAAATTAATTTCAAAGTAAATCTTATAACTATCACCTCAGGATTATTAATAGTGAAAATTTTACTTTACAAAATATTATATCTTATTATGTTTAGTCTTGACATCTTGTCTTTTAAGTTCTGCAAAGACACAACTACTACTTACCAGTTACCATCTTATCTTATGGTATGGTATGTATATCCAATGGTGGTATAATTAATGATCATTATGATAGAATATTAAAGAAAAAAAGTTTGCTAAGATACTAGGAAAAAAAGTAGATTTGTGATCTAGTTATAGAGGCATGATATGATACATGCAGAAAGTGGGACAGCAGCATAAAGATAGATGAATGCCCCATCTGATCTGCAACTCTAAGAGATGAAGCATTGGTGTAGGCATGAAGCAAAGTGGAGAGCACAATGAAGTGCAAAGGTCCCCTTAAATGTGAACAAGTTTAGTTCATAGATATTAAGTTGTTTCTATATTTCTTTTTAACTCCATGCATCATTTTTTTTTATACACCAAAGTTTTATAGATGGTTGTTACGGTATAATTAAATTATGATATATCATCTATTATATCACAAAGAGTAAATAATTTATATTCAATGGGTGTGGATGAGATAACACATGTCTCTTCCCATTTAAGGAGGGGCTTCGGGTTTGAGCCCTTCACTACAAGTCTACAAGAAAAATCAAATTTAATAATAGAAAATTCATTTAATTTGTAAATTACTAAAATTCATACTGGTTTTTAAAACTATTTAATTTGTTGCTAAATCTATTGATACTTTGCATCTATTGATATTTAATCTTTTGTTGTTTTCTTATAGTGATATAAATGAAGCTATCTTCAAATCTATGGGAGAATGTTTTGTCACTCTTAATGTCCTATCTAACACAACACAAACAAGCTAATATTAGTTTTACTATATATAATTGCTAGTTGATTGGTCAGGGGAACCAATAGTCAAACCAAAAAAAGAAAATAAATAATTTATACATCATATACTAAAAAAAGCTGGTTAATAAATGTAATAAAACTTAATATATTTATAAACAAATGAATGATTCTTATAAACTCAACCATCACCAACCCTGCATGTATTGATGAGTGCATATGAAGATTGAGGGGGCAAGAAGAAAAATTGTGTTCCTATGTAGATCCCTAGCTAATTGAATTAAATTAATGTTGCTTCTCCAAAGAGCAAGACTAAACATGATTATGAAGCCTAGTGAATGATATATATACATGGCTACACTATCCCCTAAAATGGGTAGACATTGCAAAAGAAAAGGAATCAATATTTTCAGAAAACTAGGCTTACAATTCTTGTCTCTAAAGCACATAATTTTAAAATATTTTAAGTCAAATCCTGATTTCCTGTCTCTAAATAATTAGCCTCTTTACAAGCTAGATGAACCCATATTTGGGTATCAGTTGGTCCAAATTTCACGTGATGCCCTGGGTGGTATGTCTAGGAGATTTCTAAAATATGAGGGGTGGAAGTGTTAAAATCTAAAAATTTGGGGTGCTAACTGTTAACTGCTAAGTGAAGTTAGGGATGTCAATCGGACCAGTCCACACGGTTTCGGAAGGATTGTTATGCTGTGCATCCGTATGCACCATGCATGGTGCATCCGGATGCGAAAACGACATCGTTTTGACGTCTAACTTTAAAAAAAATAAAAAAAATTCAGAGAAATTGCATAACTACGCATCCATAATTTCATAACTATACATTCAGAATTACATAACTACACATCCATAATTTCATAATTATAAATCCAGAATTGCATAACTACACATTCATAACTTCATAACTATACATCCAGAATTACATAACTACACATCCAGAATTGCATAACTACACATCTATAACTTCATAACTATACATCCAGAATGAATGAATTAAAAAATGAATAACATAATGTTGTTGCTGGGAATCGAAACTGATTTTTTTTTTTTTAAGTAGGACGCGCGTTTTGAATTCGGACTAGCCCTGTCGGGTTGTTGTGCTTATCGAATTCGGACGGTTGGTTAATTTATTATTTTATTTTCATATTCGGGCTAGTCCTAACTCTAAATTTCGGGTTTTCGAATTAATCGGACGAGCTAAACCATATGAATACTTACATTCGATAAAACGGATCACGTGGTCAACCAGATCCGAATTCTATAGAACGGGTCAACCGAATGAGCATTGCGCAATTGGACATATTAAAATTTAAATCAAGAGATAAATGAATACTTGAAGTATTCAGGCGGGACCGCCCTTTTGAGATTGACGAAGTAAAAGCGGCTCTGTTTTCAATGTATCCAGATAAGGCACTTGGCTCGGATGGGTTAAACCCGGGTTTTTACCAGCAGTTTTGGGATGTGGGGGGGAGGGGGGGGGGGGGGGGAGATGTATCTGGTTTTATAACGAATGCCTTGAATTCTTGTGTATTCCCCGATGGTTTGAATGATACTAACATTGTTTTGATCCCTAAGAAATAGGTGCCTGAGACGGTTGCAGATTTAAGGCCGATTGCGTTAAGTAATGTCATATATAGAATTATGGCCAAGATGATAGCAAATAGGATGAAAATGCTTATGGGGGATTGATCTCAGAATCCCAGAGTGCTTTTATTCCAGGAAGGCTTATCATTGATAACATCTTGGTGGCGGCTGAGGTGGGGCATTATCTAAACAGAAAACAATGTGGTGTAGTGGGTTGGAGTGCATTGAAACTGGATATGTCAAAGGCCTATGACAGAATGGAGTGGACCTTTCTGGAAAGGATGCTGACAGTTATGGGATTTAGTGAGAAGTGGATAAAACTTATTATGCTGTGCGTAACAACTGTTAATTACACTGTAATGGTCAATGGTATGGCAGGAGAGTGCGTGAAACCAACCAGGGGACTCAGACAGAGAGATCCTCTATCTCCGTATTTATTTATTATTTGTGCAGAGGCTCCCTCGATGATATTGCAATATGAGCAGTTAGCAGGCTCTATACATGGATGCAGAGTAGCTAGGGGGGCACCGCCTGTATCACATCTATTTTTTGCGGATGATAGTCTCCTATTTTTTAAAGCGAATATCCATGAGGCTGGAGTTATAAGGCAATGTCTAGCAAGGTATGAGAAATTGTCAGGCCAGGTGGTGAACTATAATAAATCTAATATATGTTTTAGCAGGAATACCCAGGAAAGTGACAGGGTGCAGGTAGCGGATTATCTTGGGGTGGTGCAAGCACCCAATTTTGGAAAATATCTGGGCCTACCTTCCTTTGTGGGAAGAAACAAGAGAGCTGTTTTCTCTTATGTGGAGGAAAAGATTAGGCAGCGGATTGGTTCGTGGAGTAAAAAGTTGCTTACTCAGGCTGGAAAAGAAGTATTATTGAAAAGTGTAGCGCAATCTATGCCTACCTTCTCAATGAGTGTTTTTTTATTACCTGAGGCAGTTTGTCACACAATTGAACGAACTATGAATAAGTACTGGTGGGGGAATGGAAGAGAAAGGGGAATACATTGGAAGGCTTGGGACAAGTTGTGTGTCCCGAAAAAGTATGGTGGCATGGGTTTTAAAGACCTTAGAGCTTTTAATCTTGCTATGTTGGGAAAACAGGCATGGCGTTTTCTAACAGACCCAGGAACACTAGCAGCAAAAATATATAAAGCAAGGTATTATCCCACAACCATTTGTACTGATGCCACTATTGGTAATTGCCCAAGTTATTGTTGGAGAAGTATAATGGCAGCGCATGTAATGGTGGTCTCGGGGGTGCGAAGGAGAATTGGGAATGGACAGACAACTTTAATATGGGGACATCCGTGGTTACGAGATAATCCTAGCCCATTGATCCAAACAGAAATGCCAGAGCAGTTGAGAGAGGCACGGGTTGCAGGATTGATTGATTTACAGACACATACCTGGGATCCACATATTTTATTTGACCTGTTTATTCATGAAGATGTAGAACGAATTAATATGATCCCTGTTAGTCCTGATTACGAGGACTCGTGGTATTGGATGGGTGACCCAAAAGGGGATATATACTATGAAGAATGCCTATAGGCGTATTGTGGGGGACTATGAGAATAACCCCGTGATATTTGATAAATGGGTCTCAATGTGGAAATTGAAAGTACCCCCAAGTGGAAGACTTTCTTGTGGAGAGCCATATGTGATATTTTGCCAAAACCACTAATTTGATTATTAAAAGGGTAGAGGTGGATCCAATATGCCCAATGTGTGGTTTAGATCATGAAGATGTATTACATGTTCTAGTGCTCTGTGAATATTCTACACTTGTTTGGAATATAACACAATTGCCTATTATTAATATTATTGCAGACTCTTTTACATCATGGCTAAAAGAGGCGTTGGCGGTCTTGACGGAGGAACAGACCTGATTGATGGTAGCGGTGTTATACTATATTTGGAGAACCAGAAACTCAGCTGTTTGGAAGGGGTCTATGACGCGGCCTACCCAAGTAGCCCGAGCAGCAGCCGCAGCACTTCAGGCATACGGTGCTGCCCAGGACTACCGCGCGCAGCCGGATGCGGCGTCGGTACCACCAATTGAACCGGGAGATGGGGGTCTGCGGTGTTACGTGGATGCAGGCTTCCGTCACGGAACGGGCGAGGCTACGTATGGCATATTACTAGTAGCGCCGGATGGCTCTTTTGTGGCAGCAAAGAATGGCAAGTTGCCGGTTAGTTTCTCACCACTTATGGCGGAGGCACAGGCGTACAAGGAAGCACTGTCTTAGCTACTTAAACGGAACAACACATCAGTAAGTGTACTCACGGATTGCATGGAGTTGATTACAATTATACGGCACCATCACACGCCGATTTATTCGTACGTTGGGGTCACAATTGACCAATGCAGAACACTTATGTCTTTATTTAATCGTATTACTTTAGATTACAGTTTAATTTACATACGCATACTTTAGCTTCGTTAGCTTTTGCACAGGATCAAGCTATGTACTGGGATGCTATCCCACCGGATGCTATTTCGACTTTGATTCATTAATAGAATCGCATGATTGACCTTAAAAAAAAAAAAAAAAAAAAAAAAAAGTATTCAGGCGGGTCTAGTTTGGATCCAGTTTCTATTCGGACTATCCAAATTAACTGATCTGATCGTAGCGAAACGGATAGGCCTTTCGAAATTTTTTGTAGATAACACTCTTTCCACTCTCCATCTCCAAGCTTCAATTCTGAGAAACAATGGCGACTTCTTCTGCACCTTCTTTCTCATTCTTCTCGTCTTCTACATTTCTCTCCTCTCCTCTCCGCAAAGCTCCTTCTAAGCTCCTGTTCTTGAAATCCCCAAAGCCCAGAGTTTACCGCTCTGCCGCCGTCCGTGCAGAGCAGGCCACACTCCCAATCCTCTCTTTCGACGGCGACCAAGTAGGGTCCACCACCCTTGACATCAAGTCCGCCCCTCCCTACACCGCCCGCGCCGTCGTCCACCGCGGTCTCGTCACCGACCTCCGCAATAAGCGTCGAGGCACGGCCTCTACCCTCACCCGCGCGGAGGTCCGCGGAGGCGGCAAGAAGCCTTACTCACAGAAGAAAACGGGGCGGGCTCGGATGGGGTCTTTCCGTACTCCTCTCCGTCCCGGAGGTGGAGTCGTGTTTGGGCCAAAGCCCCGGGACTGGTCAATTAAGATTAACAAGAAGGAGAAGCGGCTCGCCATTTCCACCGCCCTTGCCAGTGCCGCGGAAAACTGCATCGTCGTCGAGGAATTTAGTGATAAATTCGAAAAACCTAAGACTAAGGAACTCATAGCCCTGATGAAGAGGCTGGGTTTGGACCCGAAAGAGAAATGCATGTTCTTGATGACGGAGGCGTCGGATAATGTGATGCTTTCGGGGCGAAACCTTGGGAAGTTGAAGATGTTGACTCCTCGGACTTTGAATTTGTTCGACATTTTGGATTCTGAGAAGTTAGTGTTTACGAAATCCGCCCTCGAGTTCTTGAATGAGAGGTATGGAAACGATGCCGACTGGGAGAACGATGAGGGTTTGGAGAACGAGGAAGATGAAGAAGAAGAAGAAGGTTAGTTCCTTGCCGATTGTATATCAAAGTTTCTCAAAATTGTCATATTTAGGCTTAAAGTTTTGATTTTTATTTTATTTGCAGGAGCTGAGGCAGATGAAACTGCCAATTCTTCAGATTGATCTGCTTGCTGCTAATATAGTTGTCAGGCTATCCCTGAAATCTTTGTAGATCATTAATTAAGCCAAATGATATATTATTGAAGCTATTTCTGCTTTTACAGCTTACTTTGTTTAGCTCTTATATTCTTTGGCTTTGTCATGTTAATTGAACCCCCTCAGTGTATTTTTGGCTGTTTGAGTTCTTTGAAACTGATTCATAGATTTGCTTGTAAGAATTGCTGGATAGATCAATGCTATGGGATTCATTTATAATGAGCAGTAAATTTCTGTTGTGTGAAATACTAATATATTGCCCCCTCTATGACTCGGGTGTCTTTCCATGCTTGCCTATGAATCTTTGCCTTTCTTTAATTTTATTTTGCTTCCTGGCTGAAATTTTGTGGTGTAGAGTGCAGAAATGCAGGTTTTCCCATTGGCGGAATCTATCTGGTTATAGAGTGAGCAATTGAAGATGAATCATATACCCAAGGAGGTATGCAAAGTTGAACAGAAAGTGATACTTGTATCCTGAATTTCTCTTCAAGCTTCAGACTTCAAGAAGCTGAAACAAAGGATTTCAAACCAGGTTAAAAGAAATACCCTTTTTCCCCGAGTAGAGATTCACTTGGATTTGACAACATTGATTCGGTTCCACTTTTGATTTAGACCTGGCAATCCTAACTATTGTGCTAATTGCTAAAAGAAGGGACCTGGTTCTCTCAACCAGTGAGATCCTCCTATGGTAGTGTTCAATGGAGAGGCATTGGAATATTGGATTGCAACTTTTGGCCCTCCATGCCTCTCTTGATTTACAAGAGCCCACAACCGCTACCCGAAAGTGTGCTGTGAAGCCCACTACAATTAAGTTGCTCATAGCTGACAGGCTCAAACCAAGAAAGTCAATAGACAACTTTCACGGGAAATCGAACTTGGAATCTTGTGGTTACCAAGCCAACTGTCCGACGAACTAACTCGGTTGGGGTTGCCCTTGCCGTACCTCTCTGATATTACTTATTCTGATCAATACTAGAACTTACCTATCACTTGAAGATGGTTTTAAGCCCCACTTTTGGCTTTGTTTGGCACACTTGAAAGCAGAAAGTTAGCTAAAAACTGAAAGCTTAGCTTAATCAATAAACTAGAAGTTGTTAAAATAATGTTCCCAAAATAGAGCCTTTGACTAATCAATGATGCAGGACTGGTTCATAATATTCCTAGACAGTTTGTGCTGTCCCAAACTCCATAACTGCTTTTTGTTTTTTCTTTTCTTTAACAAACAGTATATTAATTCTGTATGGAACTTTAGTGACCTGTAAAAGTAGGTGGATTAAAAATGTAATACATACAGGCATGCTCAAACATATCTCCACTCATTTTTGGTGTTTAAAGGCTATCTTTCTTGTAAAATGGAGTATGAATTCCTTTGTTGGGAGATAGGTTTCTCCTTCAACTTCCTCCTCAAAATACATGTTGGTATCATCTTCAAAAACTCAGAACAGAAGTGATGAGAACATGGCAAGAGAATTGAAATCAAGTCATCAAAATCAGATTTGATGTTACAATGGGAGAATTAAGAACATTTACTAATGATGAGGACATGGAAAGAGAATTGAAAACAAGTCATAAAAATTAGATTTGATGTTACAATGGGAGAATGAAGAAGGACATTGTTGCAGTGAATGACAGCAAATCTTGGCAGGTTGGGTTGGTGCATGTGGGTGACATACTGACATCTAAATCCGCTGCCGCTGCTATGTTCTCCAATGTTCCGAGGGAACTCGATATTGTCACAAATTGGCATATTTGATAAATGACGGATCCGTCAAAATTTTGACGAATCTGTTACTTTAGCGTTTTGTCCAAGGTTAACACGCTAAAGAATGTGTTTGATTATTAAGCGGCCTGGAGCAACGGTTTGCTCCAAACCGCTGAAAATGCAAACGCTGCAGCGTTTGCACTGAGCGTTTTGGAGAAAGGTTTTTCTTTCCCCAAAACACCCCTGTATAAAAAAAATAAAAAAATAAAAAGGTTTGCTGTGTAGGCGTCGTTTCAGCTCCTTGAACGCGAGCCAGTTTGATTGGCTACTGCTTGTCCATCAACGAATAAACAAGTTTAATTTTTAACTTGGAGCCTTGAAGCTCCTTTTACAGGAGACTCAAGGCTCCCATGCTACTGATGTGGGAAAAGTGGCAAAATTAAGTTACTTGCTCCCCTGATGTTTTATTTTAACTATATGCCAAAGTGCAATTATACTCTTAAATTAAGAAAAGTTTCAATTAGACACCTTAACTCTTTAATTTTTATCATTTAACTATTAACTTTTTAAATTTGTGCAATTAGATCAATTTGTAGGTAAGGTTAAAGGTAATAGCATGTAAATTAAAAAAAAATATTAAATAAATAAAAGAAATTCAAAGATTGTCGAAGAAGTCACATAGCTGACAATTTTTTTCCATCCATCCGATCATGCTTTACCCCACACACATGGTGGGTCAGGTGGGGTTCTAGGTAGGTTTTATACATAGAACTCGAATCCAACCCGATCAGCCTCAGGTTTACTTTTTTTTTTTTTTTTTTTTTTTTAAGACCCACAACTATCACCCAAAAAATATAACCCATGCAAGATAGACTCGAGTAGATATTCACAAGACAAATTGAAATTGTCATCCCTATTCATCTGCATTGTCTTTCTTTCTATTTCTATAACAACAATAATAATGTTTTTTTTTTCTTTTTGATTTCACTCATCCTTGTAATAATAATAATAATAATAATAATAATAATAATAATAATAATAATAATAATAATAATAATAAATAAATAAATATTGTAAAAGTAATTTAAGAGTTACGCCGTAGTAAATGAGCACAATATATTTATGTCATTATATGTGTCATTATACATCCAAATAGCTAAAAGTAAATAGCTAATTTATCAAAAACTTTTTTACAACCGACTAATATTATCAGCTAGTCAAACCAACTAACTCAATCAGCTATTAACTATCAAAGTATCAGCTATCTACTATTTTCCAAATACCCTATATATTTTCCCCCTTTCTTCCTAGCCTTTCCCCACCCTTTCCTCTCATACTTTCCAGCTTCTAGTAATTTTGAGGTCAATGAACTCAAAATTTGTAGTAATATTTTAGTGGCTCAACTCATGAAATGCAACACATTGCCAGGATGGGCTCATCACTCCCTTGATCTTATCATGCATAATTTATATTTTACATTTAACTTTTGTCTCATTTACATATATAAAAATTCATAAATTCTTGAGATCTGAATATTCATGGCCGTCACTAATTTTCCTTAGTATGCAACAAAACAATCATACAACTCCCTTACAGGCAATCCCATTATAACAAAATCTACTACTATTGAGCATACATATATAAAGTAGCTACCCTAAGCATAACTCAACTAATCAATCAACCCAGAAGGTTTACTTTGTTAGCAGCAGTAAAGTACAATGAGATTTGAATTAAAAAAAAAAAAAAAAAAAAAAAAAAGAGGTATGACATGTAGTCCATATGGGGCGCATTCTAACTCCCAATTTACACTGTCCAGATTCTGGCATAAAAAACATCTGCCACAACACTTTTAAGTAACTGGGGAGATTGAAAACAATTACTATTGAAATTTCACATGGAAAACCCCATCTATAGATATTTGATCTGAAATCAACCCTTGTAACACAACTTGTTCGCCAAAGAAATGGATTATATACTGGGTATATTACACATGACTGCTCACTAACAAACGAGAGATGTACAAGAAAATTATTTTATAACGTAGGAGAATCTTCTTTTCAAAGCTGAGCTTCACGAAAATATTCCTTCCATATATCGTAATTAGATCTTCTTCAGCCATTTGCCTTTATAACTACAAAGCTGATCATCATGGTAGGTAATAGATATACAAGGAGCTTGATGTCAAGACAAACTCTTTACCGAACTAATACAAGGTGAAAGAGTGAATTCATGCCATGCCCAGTGCCCACCATCGGGTTGAGAATGAAGAGATGAGGCCGATGTGGGTATTCAAAGTGCGTCATTTTATAATATGATTTCATCCTGAACTAGGTTGCAGTGGGAGAACAGATCCCCGCTTACCTCTGATGAAATATGCGAGTTCTGTTGGAGCAACAACCATCTTCAGCCACTTTTGCAGTTCCTCACCTTCTACTTTCTCTTTCTCTGCACCCGTAAATGTTTGTTACTCCCAGAGCTCCTAATATACAGTGATACATGAAAGAGTTGAAAGGATTACCTTCCAAACATGCTCCCAGACCCTCCAAAACAGTAGGATTGGCACGCACAACACAGAGTGCAACTTCAAGTGAAGATTGGAGGAGGGATTTAACTTCTCTTTGAACAAGATCAACAAGATGCCCCTACGATTTGACACACAATCAGTTCTCATTACATATTTGCATAACTAAACCAAAAGATAATAGAGATAGGAGGTAGGGCAGATGTGAACCTGATCCCTTCCCCAAAGTGCAGATCCTGTATCATCCATCCCACCACCAGAAAGAGTTGCCAGTGAAACAGGACCTATTGTCTCATTCAGACCATATTCAGCAATTGCCTTGTACGCCATATCTGTGGCACGACGTATGTCATCAAGTGCGCCAGTAGAAACACGTCCAGAATAAATGACTTCTTCTGCTGCACGCCCTCCAAGAAGAGTGACTAATCGTCCATGTAGTTCATCAACAAAGAGCAAATATCTATCTTCAGTGGTTGGAGGAATGTAAGTAAATCCTAATGCCCCACCAGATCTGGGCAATATGCTTAGTTTCTGTTAAAAAACAAATCATTATAATTGTGTGCCACACTATTTTTGTATTTTGGAATAGTAGTAGTCTAATAACCAAAAAACAACAATACCAAGCTAAATTTCATAAGCGAACTTTTTAAAGCAAAAAAGGGTAGCAAAGCAATGAGGCCGGGCTTTGCTTTAAAGCAAAACCACAAAGCAAAGTCGCATTTTCAGATAAAGCAATGCTTTTCTAAAAAATAACAATTACTCAACTAGTGATGCAAAATGGTATATAAAAAACTTACCACTTTATAGAAGTTAAAATAATTTACATAAAACAAAAATTACAGTTTTATAAAAATTTTAAGAAAATTACAGTTTATATTCAAAGTTTAAAAATAAATTAAAACTTCACTGGGAAAAAAAATTTTAATCAGAAAAACCAAAGTCCGAGACTACTTGACTACTTCACTGGCTGAAACAGAAGAAACCCAGACTATTCTGGAGTCTGGTCAAAATTTGGAAGAAAAAAAACTAATTTCGACTTGCGAGACTGACAGTGAGACAGCAATTTCATTTTCCTGTACTCCTGTCATGTCAAAGGTCAAAGTGAGATAATGATTTCATTGGTGACTGGTGAGGCAGAACCATCAAAGAGACAAAGAGTTGCCAGAGGTGAGGCGGCGACTTTGCGAACCCTAATTTCTGGCAGTGGCGAGCAGTGAGCTGCTCTTTCAAGTCTTAATAGCTTTGAGAAGAGAAGGTCGCGACTTCATGAACCCTATTTCAGGTCTTTTATTTTTATTTTTATCTTATTTGTTGTGCTGACCTACGCGTTGGCTGTGCCTTGTCGCTCTGGCAGGAAGCAGCTGCTTTCTCACACAGCTGCGCCTCACTTAGGCAAGGCGTCAATGCGATTTCCTTTTGCATGCCTCGCGAGCACTTTTAACAAGTTTGTTCATAAGAAATGCTATATTTATTTAAAGCATGCATTCCATAGAGCTGGAAGTATGTCCAACAATATTGAACAAAATTTACCAATAAACCCTCATTTTGACACTCCAAGATGTTCTAAAAATCTCCCAATCAACTCAAAGATGTGAAAGAAATGGACCTCTTGGTGCTAATGTCAGAGACAAAATGCTATGTTCGTCACAACTTAAACTCTCTCCCTCTCCAGACAAGAAATTATATTTTCAACAAGTCAATTTAAATTGTAAATATTTTAACATACATAATACATTGTAGCAAAGGGTGAGAAATAAGTCAAGGAAAGATGTACAGACAAATGACAATCAGTGACAAAATATGTAAGGAACAGTCCTATTTACCTCAACCCGTGGTTGCCCAGTAAGAAGATTTGCAACAGCCGTACCTACTACTGCATGACCCGCTTCATGCCGTGCAACTACTGCTTTCTCATTGCCCTGCAACTTTGCAGTCTTCTTTTCTATCCCCTGTAGCATTAAGAATGGAGTTAATTCATTCACACAGGAACATTAATACTACACAGGCTCAGTGAGTAATGCAAGTTTGACTATTTACTGCATATGGCAAATTTTAACAAGGGAAAAAGTTAAAGAAAATTGGAAAAAGGAGATTGCATCAGCTGGTAAAATGAGAAATCCATGTGACATGACACCCAAAAAAAAATACATGCACAAATAGATAGATGTGTAGTGTTTGTATTAAAAAGAGAGAGAGACCGCAATTGACCGCTCTACTGCATGAATGAAATCAATTTTTTCGACAAGAAGCTTAGTGTTCCTTCCTGCCAATAAAGCAGCCTCATTTACCAAATTTGCAAGGTCTGCCCTGCACAGGATCGAAGAGGGACAAAGATACTCATATTATTTAGAGAGAAATTAAAAATAACAGGAAAGCATAACTCAAAAAATCTGAAGAAAGAATACCCAGTGAAACCAGTTGTCATAGAAGCAATATCACCAAGATCGACATCTTGTGCAAGAGGAAGTTCCTTCTTGGATACATGTACTTTCAAAATAGCTTCTCTTCCAGTCCGATCTGGTGCTTCCACCTTTAATGATTTAGTATATCATTAATAAACTGTTATTGAGGAAAGAGATATATAAAGAAAATTTTAACCAAATATAAAGAAAGCTTGAGGGAATAGATGTACAAACCATGACCACACGATCAAACCTTCCAGGCCGTCGAAGGGCAGGGTCTAACACATCAGAACGATTGGTTGCTCCAAGAACAATCACTGCAGAGTTACTATCAAATCCATCCATCTCCTGCAGTATAAATTTTGAAAGTTCAGCCTTACCTATGTGCCTATGTGTAACCTAGACATGTAAAAAGGTTGACTCAAACACTAAGCCTTACTGTAAGCAGCTGGTTTAATGTCTGCTCTCTTTCATCATTGCTAACAATGCGGAATTTACCATCACGGCTCTTTGCCACAGCATCAATCTGATATCCAGAGAACATGTAACACTATATGTTATGCCCTAGAAATTTGGTATTGATGCACAAAAAATTGTACTACTACTTATCCTTTAATTTATTTGTTTTTTTCTATTTCCTCTTGCTTCATTTTGATCATTTTCAATATAAGGTTTTTGCTTCTGTGAGAATAGGGGAGGGTGTGAAAGGAAAAAAATACCTCATCTATAAAAATTATTGATGGAGCTTCTTTCTTTGCACGGGCAAAAAGGTCCCTGACACGAGATGCCCCCATACCAACATACAGTTCTACAAACTCACTTGCAGAGCAACTGATAAAAGGAACCTCGGCTTCTCCAGCAACAGCTTTCGCTAAAAGTGTCTTACCTGTCCCAGGTAGGCCAACCTGTAAGATAATAAGAACTATGCTCACTACAGATGGTCACAATCAATCATGTGATTATGTGAACAAATGCAACTGTAGAGATAATCCCAAGAAAAGCTCAAGAAAGGTAGAAATGCAGGAAAAAAAAAAAGGGGGGGGGAGAGAGAGAAATTCATCTAAACAATTACACAGACAGGTTTGAGAATCATGACAATCATACTGTTCTTCCCAAAGACTAGTGCATTCAGTTATCCACCAAGAGAGAGAGAGAGAGAGTGTGTGTGAGAATTCCATGATTAAGCAGATTTCTTAATAACAACCACCTTAAGAAATGGATCAATATCCTATCTGACTATCACCAAGCCTATCCAATTTATGTCTACTTCTTGTAGTTTATGATTCAAATAAAGAATGAGTACAGGGAACACTTATGAATCAGAAATGAAATCACAGTCAGAATGAAAACAATTTTTTAAAAGAAATGGACAACACTTGAACAATTTTTTTTAATGAAATGGACAATAAGTAGCTAAAACAACCTACACCAATAACTATGGCAAAGTCAGTCAAAGTGAAGCCTTTAGACACAATATAAGGAGTTTACTCTCTCCATTAATGAACCCAAAATAAAAAGAGAAGAGAAGAAAAGAAACAACCATGGCGCTATTAGGTACACAATTTCCCAAAAGCAATCCCCTATTACATCCTCATTGCTCCTTAATGAGGTTTTTAAGTAACTTCCAAAGAGAGATAATAAACTGCCAGACAATCTTATAAGGTACAGGAAAGGTAAAGGAATTGACAGTTATATTCCACATCAATCAAAATCCATGCTTTTATCCTTACAATGTAAAAATTAAAGTAAATTTCACTTTTAGTCCTCGATTATTGTGGCATCGCCACGTTTTGTGCTACTCTTTTAATTTTGCCACATTATATCCTGACTTTCATTTGCTTTGCCCCATTTAGTCCTTTAAAATTTTTGTCATTCTACCATTCAATAATTATGGCTAATATGTAATTTTATCATTCAATTAAAATAATTTACAAGAGAGGGAGAAAAATTACATGTTGGGCCAAGACGCTTTAATGAAAAAATTACATGTTAGCCCTTTTTATTAAAGGGTGGAATGACAAATTTAAACAGAAGACTAGTTGTGGCAAACAAATAAAAGTCAAGGATGTATGAGGTAAATTAAAAGAGTAGCACTAAATATGGCAATGCCATAATCTATGACTAAAAGTGGAGTTTGCTCTAAAAATTATTTAACTCACCAGAAGAACGCCTCGGGGTGGGCGTGCACCAAGTCGTATATACCTGTCAGGATTCCTGAGAAATTCCTGAGAAGCAGATAAGAAAATCCATCAAATTAATAAGTAATGATTATATAAACAGAATACTAATCAAGGGATACACATTTGCACAGGAAATCTGTGAAAAGTCAAACATACCACTATTTCTTCTAGCTCCTCCTTGGCTTCATCAACACCTGCAACATCAGCAAATGTGACAGTTTCACCTTGCTCGGACACTTTCGCTCCATTAGAACCCCCAGATTTACGGTTCCTGAGCTGACCAGCTGAATGCTGAAAATATGGTGAACTAAATACTCAAAGTCTCAAACCAATTGCAAAAGTTTGTAGCTAATAAATGAAGAAGAGTTATGGTATATACCTGAAAAAAGTTCAAAGGGAACCGATGTAGAAGAACAGCTAGGACAACAACGTGGAAAAGAGCAAACTGGAAACAGATAAAAAGATCACATTTTGCACTATCAAATCAAAAAGACAAAAAGCTTAAGACAAAATGATTTCCAATAAAGCATAAAACTCTTCATCCAAACTAAAGCTTCACATTCCTTATGAAAGTCCCAGCACTGAAAAGAATAACGGCAAACAACCACATTATGAAATTTAAATATATATAAATAAATGGATTTTTTCTCAAATGCCTTTTACTCCCATACCTCTTTCTAAAAATGGAAAAAGTGGAGGTATTTTGATCATATCAACAGAGTTGGGAAAAAAGGGAACATGGAGGTATTTTCATGAGCTAATACGTGTTTTCAATGTTTTTGTTGATTAAGGTGCCACATTTGGATGACTTTTGGAGCCAAGGCTACAACACTCTTTGATGAGTCTAAAATTGGTGCTTTGAATGGTCTTGAACATATAGGCAAATCAATGCAAAAACGGAACAAAAGAGTGAGAAGTTACAAGTCTCGCATAAAATGACGACTGCTTGGTATTTTGATCATATTTCTATGCAGGAAGATCCAATTGAAGTGATTCCAATGCCATTGGATACCCAACTCAAAGAGTTACAACTTCTATGAACACACAAAGCCTAATTATGATGTTATCAAGGTAAAAATAGCTTCAAAAGAAGAGTTACAGTGTAGAGGACCCTTGCAACAGTTAGATAGATTCAAAGAGCCACTTTGCCTCACTGTAGTGAGAATGCCCAGACCTAGATGCAGAATTCTTGTTGGGGTGAGAATGGTTTCAGCAATTTTAAAAAAATTTCCCAACTAGTCCATGGACGAAGCTACAAGATTGACGTTGCATTGTTGGAGAAGAAAACACACCAAAATGCTTCAAATTTGGTCTTCCATCATCTTAAGCATCACAAACGTGATGAAGAAGAGGATAGCATGCCAGCATTGGCAACGAGGGTTCCAATCCTGGAGTTTTCTATTTCTCTCTCTTTCCATATGTTATATTTGAGATGAACAATTTGAAATTGTGTGATTTCTTTATCATTATGAATGGCTAAACTTTAATAGGGAATTGAATTCATAGTGATGTTTATTTATGTAGCTTGTTCTTAATTTGTGAAACTTCATTCTTTCTATTTCTTTTAGTGTTGTGTTTGTGTGATTTAATTTATAAGTACATAGAACCCAATTGTTATAGAATGGACCATGGTTCATCTTGTGGATCCTGGTCCAAAATGACATTCAGATTATGTACTTGTTGTTAACATATTATGTATCGTTAGTTAATAAATTATGTACCTATTATAATTAACATATTATGTACCTTCATTTATTTACAGGGTCCACAATGCAAGGTGAACCCTAGTCCATGGTATAATTTGCCCACAGAACCTTGGCCAAGTTGTATGTGATTCTTGCATGTTATATTGTTATTTGACTAAAAGAGTGGTATATAACATAGGCACCACAAACACACTTAGAAGGCACACTATGAGAGTGGGTGATTATCTAGGGGATTTATATATTGCTAGAGTTTAAAGGGTTAAATTGTGTAAGGCACTACAAGAGTAGGATTTGCATGATTTAATGAATAAATGTGACCATGGGAGTGGCAATGATAATAAAAAGCCATTTTCCACACTTAGGAATTGAAGTATTAGAATCTCAATATTTAGTGGAGCTACCAAATAAACCTCTCACTTGAATTCAATCTATCTCTTTCTTGTTTACTTAATTGCTTGATTATTTAGTTTCTAATTAATTGAATCCCTCAATTACATAGGACTAAATATAATAGGCTTCTATTAACTAGTGTTTGATTTAACCAATCTTGATATCATTACCTATGGGTTTGACACCCTACCACCCTAGGATCACCTTAGGAATTAATTCTAAACTACTACAAGTCTACAACTACATGCACATGTGGGTGCTTGTCAAACATTTTCAGCAAACCATTCCATATAGAGAGATAGATATTACAGGAAAGTTGAACCAATTTATTCCAGATAGAAAAGTTTGTAACAAATGAATGTTGACAATGCATCTAACATTCAAATTCAGTGGCAAATAATCACTTCACATACAACCACACTGTCAGAATGCACTAAGGATCTTAACCAGACTCTGTAGGTGAGCCCTAACCAATTAAGTTGTTACTTCTAGTAAAACAAAGATTCTATAGTGAAAAGTAAACAAGAAAAGGAAATATCCTTCACAAACTCCAATTTATGGTTAATTTGACAACCCTACAGAAAGAAAACTATATAGGTAGGACCTCATGCTTGGTCTCAGATTCTTTGTCCAATTTATATCATATTGGACATAAAGGATAAATTGCTTGGTACTTTACAAGTTCTGTCAGTCAAGCATACTGTCTAAGTGTCCATCTAAATAATACAATCAAAGATCCTAAGTAGAAGCTATAAGCAAGAGAGCACTCACTCAACTTTACAGATAAAAGCAGTCCTGGATGCATCAATGTGAAAGTAATTTTCTTAAAAAGTTGACAGCCAAGAATGTTACCAGTGCTGAGTGCAAGAACCAGCCAGACCGCTTATCCGGTGATCCAAACTCCACATTGTTCTCCAGCATCTTCTCGTAAGGAGTCTTGATATCACCAGGCCTTGTTGTGGTGTACACAATCCTCTTGGTGGGATTCACGCTCCTTAACGACCACTCAGACTCCTGCAGCTTACTGCTTCCACTCCCAGACTCACTCTCCACCACACCACTCATCACTTCATTCTTCAACTTGAACATGATGTGGAATTCATCAACCTCTACCTTCTGAACCTGATTTGAGTTTACCTTCCTCAAGAACTCACTGTACGGAACGCTCACAAATGTAACCGGAGCCATGGGTTCTGACCCAGGCAATGGAATTCCTGGACCGAGCAATCTCATCACGATCATAACTATCCCCAATTGCAAAAACACTCCCACTTCCTGTGCTTGAACTATGGGTTGCCACCGCCATTTTGACCACCACCAGTCCCCTTTCCCTTGACTTTCTTTCCGAGAAGAACCCGAACTTGAACCCGATCCCGACCCTGAAACCGGAGAAGTATTACTTTCCGTCGTAGTAGCTTCGTTTGTATCGTTGGAATCAGTGCCTTGTTCACAAGAACTGTTTGCCCTAACTCTAATCTCCCTATCTCTTAGGTATCTGTTCTTCGAACGGGTCCCCGGAAGTTCCCAATTCACCGAAACCCTAGGTGGAGCTCCTGGCGGCGTAGTATTAACAATCAAACGACTCGAATTCCTCTGTAAACTCCAACACCGACTACAGCAGGCAACGCTCTGCCTGTAAACATACTTGTGATTAAAGTGCCAATTTAACGAAATTTGGGAGTGAATTATGGGCGGGAGACCTTCTACGGCTGCCATTCCAGATGGAGAAAGCAGAGAAAAAGACAACAAAATCGGAGTCGGATAAGAAGTCGTGTATTTTACATATACAGAAGAAGGGATTGAAGAAGAGCAGAGAAATCAGATATGGAGGTCGAGGTCGAGGTTGAGGTCGGGGTTGCCCGGTTTGGTGACCATTGACCGTTAAATAACGCCTAGCAGCTGCAGCGCGTTATCCAATTTTTGGCAAAGACTACACAGTTGTTAGCTGTTACGAAAACAAATACGGAGTAATAATTCTTAGCTCAATTGTTTCGTTTAGTGAGTAGTATTTGAGAGAAGAGATTAAGGTTTGAACTTTGATGGTGACAGTGTTGGAATTATGTTCAATGTGCATATCGGCATTTGGCCTTATCCGTCCGAGTCATCAAATCTTAATCTGTTAATATTATGTGACTGCAAATATATATTAAAAAGTAAATTGTAAACATTTAGTATATAAATTGTGAATATTTGGACCGGGTCTATAGAATAACACAGGCAAATTTTATTGTGGATCATGGGCCAAAATGGTGTATTAAAATAAACGGCACCCGTTCCGCGTAATTAGTTCTGTTTGCATAACATATTCAGTTTCATTTTATATACATTGTAGTTTCATTTCAACACAACTAAAGTTTCATTTTTTTCGACTAGAGTTTAATTCGACATTATACATACAGTAGTCTTATTACGGTGAGACATGTTATTGAATTTCATTTTATACAGACTGTAGTCTTATTACAACACCACTAAATTATAATTTGAATTCGACTACGGTTTACGGTTTCATTGGACAATATACACTCAAATATGTGAACTGTTATTCAAATTCATTTTATATACATTGTAGTTTCATTACAACACAATTAAAGTATCATTTTGATATAACTACAATTTCATTTCACAATACACACTCAATATGTGAGACATGTTATTCAGTTTCTTTTTATACATACTGCAGTTTCATTTTAGTAAAACTAAAGTATCGTTTCAATTCAACTAAGTTCTATTTGACAATACACACTCAATATGTGAGACATGTTATTCAGTTTCATTTTATAAATACTGCAGTTTCATTTCAACACAATTAAAGTATCATTTCATTTCAACATAATATACGAGACAAGTTATTTAGTTTCATTTTAGAAACATTGTAATTTTAATTTGCTTTGAACACATAAAAAGTACAAAATTTGTTAAAATTTAACGACTGACGTTTCTTTATTTAAAGAAGTGGGGCCGTTTTCAGACCATGATCCACGGTATAACAACCGAATAACACATAGGGTAAGTTTTTGGCCCAAAGATTCTGGTTACAAAGCAATTCCATAATATCTAAACAATCAACAAGTCCGATTGGTAATCAGATTAATTTAAACGCCAATTGCTCACCAGCCCAATGAGAGTTCTCTGGTCCAGCAAGGACATCGAAATGGGATCGAATAGGCCTAAAATAAATTATTCCGCAAATTATGCCATGGAATCGTGTTCACCGAGAATGGTGAACACAAGGCAAAACGACGTCGTTTTTAGGCAAAAAAAAAAAAAAAAAAAAAAATCGCGGATGTGGAGTTATCGGTGCGCGTTTGATCAAATTATGAATTTTCTGTTATGAGATTATGAATTTTATGAAAATTCATAATCGCATAACAGAAAATTCATAATCGCATAACAGAAAATTCATAATCTCATAACTGAAAATTCATAATCTCATAACAGAAAATTCATAATCTTATAACAGAAAATTCATAATCTCATGGTTCCAAAGTGAATGTGTAGGCATGGTTCCAAAGTGAATGTGCAGACATGGATTCATAATTTATGAATGTCCGTGATTTTGGACAGGAATGTGTAGGCATGGTTCCAAAGTGAATGTGCAGCCGTGCAGGCATGAATTCATAATTTATGAATGTCCGAAATCTTTGTTCACCTCAAATTAAAGTGAAACCGCAAAATGTGAAAATAAAGAAGAAAAGTCACGCAATTAATTAAGAAAAAAAATAAAAATAACGGTGTACTAACACCGTTGGAACCGTGTTCACCATTGTGAACACGGTTCCATGGCATAACGTCCCAAATTATTCTGCGGGACTGACAATTGCAATCATTATTGTGTAAATCATATTTTGTATATTGTAAAATAATGTACATATAATACACAAATAATTTACTTTTAATATATTAAAAATATACTTTGTATTCAGAAAAAGTACATTATTTGAATATTAAAAGTACATTATTTTATATAATGTATATCCAGTACACAAATAATGTACTTTTAATACATTGAAAATGTACTTTCTTTTATGGTCCATACAACACTATGTGGACCATGGTCCACACAATAATTTGCCCACATTCTACCGTTGTTATACAGCTGACCATGATCGTCGAATGAAACTGTAGTAGAATTAAAATGATACTTTAGTGTCATTATAATGAAACTAATGCTTGTGTAAAATGAAATTAAAAAAAAAAAAACATAATACATTATTGTCAAATTAAACTATAGTGTAATAAAAATGATATTTTAGTATTGCTATAATGAAACTAGTATACTACATTGTAATAGAGCCGGTAGCATTCAAAAAAAAATAAAAAAAATTAGTGTGTATGGAAAAACCAAACAAGAAAATAATGGGTTAGTGAGCCAGTAGCATTCAAAAAAAAAAAAAAAAAAAAAAAAAAAAAAAAAAAAAAAACTAGTGTGTATAGAAAAACCGAACAAGAAAATAATGGGTTAGTGCTAAAACGTGCTCCAAATCATTATCTAATTAATTATATTTCATATTTTGTGGAGTTTTGTTTTGTAACATTGTGTGTTTTCTCATTTGTTAATATTAATAGTGATATGAGCGTTTTATTATAATATATTTTATATTCAAATTATTTTATCTAATTAATTATATTTCATATTTTGTTTTTAATATTTTTTTTATCTCAGTTTGATGTATTTTAATTTTTATCTTAATTAACAATATTTATGACTCGGCCTCTAATTTTTTTTTTTTCAAAATATCACATCGGTTTTTAATCTTCCGGCCCTCAATCTGGATCCGCGCACCCCTGCTATGGTCCATGTAGTAGTGTGGACTATGGAATAACTATCATTCTAATTACACTTATTTTCATTTGATAATATAGCTATGTTTTTTAGTTTCATTATAACAATATCAAAGTATCATTTTAATTCTACTATAGTTTCATTTGACAATATACATTATTGCATGAGTTCTATGTTTTGGTTTCATTTTTCACACACACTAGTTTAATTATAGTAATGCTGAAATATTATTTTAATTATAATCTAGGTTCATTTGACAATATATGCTATTGTATGGGCTCTGAATTTTAGTTTTATTTTTTTCACACACTAATTTTATTATTGTAACACTAAAATATCATTTTAATTATACTACAGTTTCAGTTGACAATATACATTATTGAATGAGTTCTGTTTTTTTAATTTCATTTTCTACAGATACTAATTTTATTATAACAACACTAAATTAAAGTATCATTTTAATTATATTATTCATTTGACGACCATAGTCCACACAATGCTGTGTTGACTATGGTCCCATCTACTGAGGACTAGGGTCCCTCGTCACCAACAAATATATATATATATATATATATATATATATATATATATATATATAGGCAAAGTGAGTAATTAGATGAAATAAAGAGAGAAAAGAGGACAAATGGGTGGGTTACGTTTAGTGATTAAAGGATGATTGAGGACATATTTTTAAGTGAGAACGTGAGGATTTATCTGATCTTTTTATTTAATTAAGTTAACGTTTGTGATTTAATTCTATGTAATTGATTTAATTTTCGTACTCAGTTTGTTGTGCATTCGTACTCAGTTTATTTTGTGCATTTGTTATCAATTTGTTGTGCATTGTGTCCCAGTTTGTTGTGCATTCATAGTGTGATTGTTGTGCATTCATTCCATTTTATTGTACCGTCCGTGTTTGTTTTGTTACAGTCTTTAGATAACTCAAAATGGATGATCTGGAATTCTGAATTAGTCCTCACGTTCTCACCTAAGGATAGGTCATCACCTGATCCGGAATATATATATATATATATATATATATATATATATATATATATATATATATATATATATATAAGTATGGAGAAACTCAACCAATAGTCAATCTTAAGAGTATAATCATATAAGTATGGAGGAACACAAAGCATCTTCCTCAAAGATTATTTTTTATGATTTACAAATATGGAGGACTCTAATCTCAATAGTGGGGCAGAGATATCGTCTCAGTGAAGTCCTAGTGAACAACAACCCTCTACTAAACACTCCTAAAAAATTTCACACTACCAATAATGAAACATGGTCTTAGTCAACTAAGCCCTAGTGAACGGTATTCCACTCTACCGAACACTACACAAATTTTCCATATCGTGGAAATCATGACTAAAACTTTTAGTGTGCACACCCCCAAAGGAGTTTTCATGTTCAGAGGGTAGTAACTAGCCCTAGTAACCCGTGATGTTTTCTACTAGGGTACTCATCAAATATAACAGAACTCATAGTCCAAGTATTCAGGATGTTTTCTACCGAATACTTCCTCAAATAAACAGGACACGTAATCCTAGTATCCAGGATGTTTTCTACCGAATACTCCTCAAAACAAACAAGACATATAGTCCGGTGTTTAGGATGATTTCTACTGAATACTCCTGAAAATATGATTTTAACCCACAATTCCCATATCCTCCAAAATTTTACATTTTTATCAACATATCCTAAAAAAATAATACATTTTTATCATCGTTCATTGCCCATAGGCTATCAAAATACCATTTCTCAAAATAAAAGTTCTCACCGAACTTTATAATAATATCAAAGATTATATATTCCTCAAAACATAAGTTTGGAAAGTATAAACCCTCTCAATATAATAGAGTTCTCAACACATAACTCTTCAAACTCATATAGTACTTAATCAAACCACAATAGTCTCCAAAGAGGATATAGGGGTGTATATATATATATATATATATATATATATATATATATATATATATATATATATATATATATATATGGTTTCATTCAAATACAAACCCCCTTAAAATACAAACTTGAGCTCGTGCACACATTAACATAATTACATGCACACATGACGCACTGCCAACAATTTTTGGGATTAGCTCATGCACACATTAACATACTTATATGC